ACAAAGTCCAAACACCCAAAAGTGCTTGCAATGGCTTCTTCAACCCTCAGAACCGTTTCTTCATCCCTGATGCTAGCCATACCCAGATCATACCCTTCTCCATCACCTCCAAAAACCCTGGTTTTTCCTTTCTCAAATCTCATCAATAATCCATCCCTAACTCAATGCCTCGAGCTTTCTACAACAAACTTCGGTAACTTCTCCCTTTCCAAACGATCTTTCACCTGCAAAAGCCAGGCCAACCCATCTGACAATCCGAGACCCAGTAAGTTTTTCTCTGTTGTACATTAATTATTATCCTTATTTTGGGTGTAGATCCTGTAATTTACTGGGTTTTTATGCTCTGTTTCTTAATTTGTTGCAGCTAAAGTTCAAGAGCTATGTGTTTATGAGATCAATGAGAGAGATCGCGGCAGCCCTGCTTATCTCCGGCTGAGCCAGAAATCGGTCAACTCTCTCGGTGATCTTGTCCCTTTCAGTAACAAAGTAAGTACTTTACTTTCCCTACTTCACACTAAATCACAACAACTGCAGAGTTAAGGACTTTTTTGCACTATGATCAAAAGTCTGAGGAGAACCCATGTCATTTAGCCTGTTTTGGTCTTGCGTTATTTCAGCTGTACAGTGGAGACCTGCAGAAACGGATAGGGATAACGGCGGGACTATGCATTCTAATCCAGAACAAGGCGGAGAAGAAAGGCGACCGGTACGAGGCGATCTACAGCTTTTACTTCGGAGACTACGGTCACATAGCGGTGCAGGGGTCGTACCTGACTTACGAAGACACATATCTGGCGGTCACCGGCGGGTCAGGGATTTTCGAGGGGGTGTACGGTCAGGTGAAGCTCCGGCAGCTGGTCTTCCCTTTCAAGCTTTTCTACACGTTTTACTTGAAGGGCATCGGGGATTTGCCCGTTGAGCTTCTGGGGAAGCCCGTTGAGCCCAGCCCAGCTGTCGAGCCAAGTCCAGCGGCTAAGGCTTGCGAGCCGCACGCCACCATTGCTAATTTCACGGATTAATAAATCTATGTTTCTCTAGTTGATTTTAACAATAATAAATGAGGATTTTGTTTCTTTAAAAATATATGATATCTGCATCTTTGTTATCATTATTATTTTTTTAATGTTGCCTCTTGAATACATTTCGAAGTTGATGTTATCGAATAAGTTAAAATAAAGGATGCGGTGAATGAGTTAAATAATTTAATGGTTATTTTTTTTATTAAAAATAAAAGATATTGAGTTTAAATTCTCTTATATACTGATTAAATAAGATATGATGAAATGAGATAAGATTATATGTTAATGGAATGAGATAAGAGATAAAATAAATAAATAAATAAAAGTATTAAAAGAAGTAAACTACCTCATTAATAAAAGAGTTATTTTAACCAATCACTTCAATAGATTTAATGATTTATCATCAAATTTAAAATGTTAGGATTAAATAATTGGAAATTCTACTCGATTTGAAAAAATTTCTCCTCCCTCCAAAATTTTTTCCATGTTAAAAAAAGAGAAGAAGTTATTTTAACCAATGACTTGATAATTGGAT